CTTTCCTCTGTTTCCTTTTACCTTCCTCCTGCCCCACCATCATGCTTGCCTTTCTTCTGCTAGATTGCTGTTGCTCCAACCCACCCAGGATCTCCGTCCTCCGTGAGGATCTTGATTCCCTAGTTGTTCCCTTGTCCATGGTGTGTTGGCTCACTGCTCCCTCCCCCCGTCCCCTCTGGAATGTGGGTCCCGTTGCTGTCTCCTTGGGCTTGCTTCCCATGCCCTTCTCTTAATTTTCTGGTCTAAAACAGGAGGTCTGGGCGGGTGATTCTACGTGAACGCCATCTTGACTTCTCTGTCAGGAGATATTTAATTACAGTTTTTGACTCCAAATGGAAGTACAAGCAGCCTCCTGTTGACTGGGAGCCTTACCTCATGATCACGCAGGCCGGTGTGCTTCTTCCATGTGGGCTTTGTTGCTTCCCTGCTAGATGGCCACTTGTGTAACTTCAAGCCTTTAAGACCTGCTGTATCTTTTTTTAAACGATGTAGCAATCCATACATAATTGTATCAAGCACATTTGTACTTATGTTGCCATCATTATTTTCTAGACATTTATTTTCTATTGAGTCCTTGATGTCAGCTCCTCTTTGATGTCAGCTCCCCCCCACCCTTGTGGCCCTTTGATAAACTATAAATTACGGTTATTTTCATATCTTACACCGACTGCTGACTATAACTTTTGATAGACAGGCACCATCAGCTTTCTTCACCACATTTACTTATGCACCCATTTTGACTTCAACAATCATGTCAGGAAGGTGAGCATCACAGAATGCCAGGTTAAGTTAAACTGGTTTTAAAAAGAGTTGTACATATACCATCCCAATCAGTTCTCATGCTCTCCCTCTTCTCTCATGCGTTGTTTTCTCCCCAAATTCCCTCACCATCCCCACCCCCTTCCACATCCTCAATAAATCACTGCATCAGTTATTGTCTCTAAGCATCCACTCACTCCTTCTGTGCTTCACAAACAGGGAAACGCAACAGAAACAATACAAAACAAAAATGAAACAAAACAGCAAGAAAAAAATAATAATAATATGTAAAGATAAGAATACAAATAAAAAGTAAGAAAGAAAAGGCACCATCCACCAGGTCTTGAGGACGATGACCCCAATTAGAGCAACCAGTCCACGGAGAGGACCACATGGCCAGCCCCACTATGAGACATGATGCCCCTCACTGACCCATGGCCCTGCAGGGGGACA